TACTCAAAATTTGAACATGATAAAACTAGCATTTGTCATTTTCTCCCATATTTTTATCCTTCAATGATAAAAAAGAAATTTGGATCACTCAAACAAGAACAAAATGTCTTATTACATAATATTGGACAATTTAATATCAGCATTTTTTCATTGTATCCCCTAGGCTGAACCTTCTAAAGGTCAAGAAGAGAGAAGCTTGAGAAAAGCAACATTCCTTATTGCCATATCACATTATGTCATATACTAATATAGATAAGATATTATTTAGAAAGCAGTTATCATTATTTAGTAAAATGACCCCAAAAGGCATCACTACTAATCCATAAATATACTAGTAAGTTCTAACTAGTCCATGGACATTCCACAAAAGCACAAATAGTCCTTGGAAATCAAAAGGTGAAATGAATTTTTATATAAATGAGAAATTTATTATAAAAACAAGGCCTGAAGTAACAGAAAATTCTATGAAACTATTTTGAATTTTTATTAACTACCAATGTTGCAAGAGAAGGCACCTCTTCTAAATTGAAAATCCACTGACACTTTAAACCTCATCTGGGACAATCAATGGAAAGAGAAAAGAAAATAGATCAGTGAGAGCTTGAAAGGAAAATTTTATTTAGCTTTTCTGTTAAATAAAAGAAAATTTAATGCTAAGAGGATAGATAAGGGTGACAATATTCTAGATTTATGTGTTACAAAACAATGAGCACCGAAAGACTCTAGAATACTATTAGATAAAACTGAATCATTTGATAGCAGTTTCAACCCAATAAAAATGGAAAACCAGGCTTAATAAAATAACTCAAATATGACAAAGGTATTATGAATAAAATAAAGTTGTCACAATAGGTCAACTTGTTACTCGATCCTTTAACAAGCTTTAACAACAGCTTAACCATGGTGAGTGAGCACATGAAATTGAATTAAATTAGTTGGTCGTAGAAACTTTAAATACTCTGAAAGTTTTACCCTTTGTTATATGTATTCCAAAATGCTCTTATTATTCAAAGGAGCATGTTTATGCTAATCTTCAAATTTCAGTTTTTAGATAAAAGTATACTTTTATCTTAGTATATTTATATACTCTTAGTATACTTCATTTTAATACTCAACTTTATACTTCTTGAAAATCTTATTAAAGCCCTATATACACAATAAAAACCTCAAGGTTTTTCCATTATAGGATATATCACATAATTAGAATATAAAGTGACAAATGCGAGCAAAATCTCAACATTTAGCCAGAAATCACAATTCCATTATTAATTTCTTTAGGGTAATTTTAAAATATGCATTCATAAAAAGGTGGTGGTATGCAAACACCATTATATTATCATGCATGTAATACTGTACATCCAATATTGCTTACTCATATTTATTTGCATACCTGATAGAATTGTGACAATTTAGATGAAATTATCTCTGCAGGACTCTAGGCGATTTTCATTTTAGTTTTGTACATTTATGAATAGTCCAGATGGGACAATATTATTTTTATCAGAAAAATAATAGTCATGGGGGCGCCTGGGTGGCTCAGATGGTTAAGCGTCTGCCTTCGGCTCAGGTCATGATCCCAGGGTCCTGGGATCGAGTCCCACATCGGGCTCCCTGCTCCTTGGGAGCCTGCTTCTCCCTCTGCCTCTCTCTCTCTCTCTGTCTCTCATGAATAAATAAAATAAAATCTTTAAAAAAATAATAATAATAGTCATTTGCAGAACTTAACTTCTAAGTAAATAAATAAAGATGTTTTCCAAAGAGAAAATTAGTAAGCCATGCAGTTTGTACTGGAATTTCTTTATAGCTTCCATGAGAGGGTGAAGCATGGAATCTCTGGAATATGATAAAGTCTACACATTTAAGCAACTTTTAACTACAGAATACTCTTTTGCCACTTCTGTATCTTCTCATCTTTAAAAAATGTGCAACAAAAAGAAATGTATTTCTGGAATAACGGTGATAAATTATAAAAGACCTATTTACATGACTCTATTCTCTACAAAATATTTGTAGCAGTTATTTGGTAAAGAAAATTTAAGGAAACTCAGATTTGTTGTAATAATGTAAGTTAAGTAGTTTAAAAAATAACAACTCAACAACATAAGAATACATCCAAATGTAGGATATAATTTTGTGACACTAGAATTTACATTTACCAGAGAAATTTGTATGTTGCTGATAATGGAGACAGGTGACTTTATGGATAGAATTATTTGGTAAGTGTTTTAGTCCCTTTGATTCCTGGCTACCTTATTTATAAAATAGAATAATATATTCTTTGCAGAGTTGTTGATTGGGGTTTAATAGATGATATATATAAATCACCTGGAACAATAAATACTAACTCACTTTTTGCTCTCTCTGCATTTTTTTTTTTATCACCACTTATATTTAGGCATCAAATAGACAATACAGATGGGGGAAAGTATTATATTTTGTTGCGTTTGCACAATGAAGCATATTATGCATATTACTTATTAAGATACAGCAAGCATTGGTGGTGTCTTAGGTAGATTTCCAGGAAGTAGATGCAAATGATTTTGTGGGCGAGACCTGCAGTCCATTTTGCAAGTATGAACATTCAAGAAGAAGAATAAAATTTCCATATCTTTCTCTAAATAAAAATGATAATGTTCTCAACTAAGAATTTATAGGATCCTTTATTCTTAGGAATTCCATTTTTAGCTTGGTTTCTGTGTGGTAAAGGAATTACCATTAATAGATATATGAGGCTTGGAATTGGGCTCCTTTCTTATTCATGAACAGGTCTAAAAACGTACACTTTTAGAGTGGGGAGGTGGAGGAATATGTATAAGAAATAATATGTTTCTATATTAATATAAGGTACTAACGCAATTGTGAGGTTGATTGCCCATAGTAAGTTCCACCTGCAGATAAAGGTGAGCATTCCTCTGAAGTATCATTCCAGACCAAACTAATATGACCTAAACCAAGTGTTCTAACTAATTCATGGTTGTTTTTAAAGACTTTTACTAGAAAGAGCCTTGGAAAAAAAATATGAATAGAAAATGTAGCAATAAATTTTTAAGCACCATATTGATCAATGCATTGTTGGCAATATGATAGGATTTTTTTTACGTTCTCTTAAAATGATTTCTCTCTTTGAGTAAAGAAAAACACAGTTTCTGCAGAATATTCATTCTTAGAAGGCAGTAGACTTCAGAAGTGCAGGTATGTAAATGAATAAGACCTGAGTTTGATTGCTAGTTTGACCATTTAATAGTTGTATGACCTTCATCACACTATTTAATCGATGTTATCCTCAATTTCCACGTTTATAAGAGGAAGATAATGGCAACATCTCTGTGATTGTAAGGAAAAATTAAACAAGAAAATGCATATAAAGACTTTACCACAATACTAGCCCATAATAAACACACTGATAAAATGATTTTAAAATAATCAATTTGAGGGAACTCATTCCTATTACTAGGATTTGAAAAATTTTGACCATTCTAAATTTTGTCTGGGACTGGCTCAGATTTGAGTTTCTAAGGCAGGCATGACTGACTTTTGTCCTGGTTTCTTTCTATGATATCATTTATTATTCCTCCAAAAGAAGTTTGTCAATATAAACATAGGTAAAGGAAAACACCAAAGCTGCCACCATTATCTCCAACAATACAAACTTAAAGAAAAACAACTTGAAATTGAATCATACTGTGCTTAAGAAGGTTTTACCTAAATGTCAAACATAAGGTTAAGAAGTTTAAATAGAGGCTGTGAAATATATATTTTTAAGCAGGACTTAAGAAACACATTCTGTCTCACTAGTTCATCTTATGCCTATAGAATTTAATAATTCTCAATTATTTTCTGATGACTATTTTTGTTTTGTTTTTACCTGTCTTTGACCAATAACATCCAAGATTAACTATTTGCAATACAGTAGAAAGAGAAATATGGAGTCCTTTCTATTAGACTATTTTAGCTTAGCCATACTAAAAAGAACAAAGCAAGGTAGAAATAATTTCCAATTTAAAAATGTACTGTTTTTCTTCTCATTATTTGGTAGCCTTGAAGCGAACTACAAATTTGTATTAAAAAATCTTCATGATGCCAAGTCATGAGAACAGGTCAAAATTCAGTCTCATTTTTAAGTGCCATTAAAATTTAGACAAAATGTATCTTATTTTTCAAACATGAAGTATCCAACCAGAATACAAGATTGTAACATTTTGTTTGCTATTGATTTAGCTTTCCTAAGGAATCCACCCCTCCTCTCCCTCACCTCTCCTTGCTTTTTCTAATAAAGTTGCATTTGTTTCCAAAAGTATTTTTGTGCTATTTTTAAAATCTGTTTACTCCAAAACTCAACATACACTTTCAAAAAGTATTCTAAAACAATTAAACTAACAAATGAATAGAAAATGTAGCAATAAATTTTGTTAAGCACCATATTGATCAATGCATTGTTGGCAATATGATAGGAGTTTTTTCATTCTCTTAAAATGATTTCTAATACTAATACATTTGCTAGTATTTTCACTAGCAAATTTAAACAATCTTTAAGTACTGACAGATCATACTTTATTGTTCAAACACCTAGTTCATAAGATATGTATTTTGCTCAATTTAACTTCAATCTTACTAACCAACTGAAGCCCCTTAACATGCAAAAACAAAAACTCTAAATATTGTTTTATATAAAATTTAAAAGGATGTCCATTTCCAAAAAACTACATTAAAGGTGAACATCAAGGAACACTAACATCAACTTTTTCAAATTATAACAAATATCTTGGAGGGTCATGAAAACAATCCTAATACAATTAAATATATATACCACAAACAAAATTTCCCCTTTTCATCCAAAACGCTGTGAGAGATTATTTAATGTACTGTGCTGATAAAGCTTTTATTTAATGTTCTGTCCTGGTTTTAAAAATAGATTAGTCTATTCTTGTGTACATCTGCAGGTACACAAATAACTTAAGCTGATGATGTAAAATTGAGAATATATTTTTAGAAAAACTTACCATTGTCATTCTTCAGCATCCCATTGCTCAGTTGTTTTAATCTCTTTTGATGTGATTTGCCATTGTAGTGGATTTGTGCTTGAGCTGCCGAATTCAGCTGAATGTTACAAACATTGCACAAAGTGAAATTGGTATGTTTCTTTTCTCTTTCCGGTTTTTCTTCAAAGTCATCAGGTAAAAATTCAGCCTCACTTTCTCCATCATGTGCACATGTGAAATCTAGGGGCGCAAAGGAATTTATGAACAGGCTGATCAAGACCTCCAGATTCTTTCATAGTACTGAATTGGGTAGCAAATAAGCATTGTTCTAGATAATAAGAATTCAAAATTTCCACTTCCTCCCTTTTTAGTGCATCACTTTCGTACTATCTAAAGTAGTTAGCTTCTTTAATGGAATACAAATGAGAAACATTTCACTTTGTTTTTTCTATGTCAGATAGTGGGTTAAAGGTCTGAAAAGGGTCTAACATACATTTTTTCATTCAATCATTTGACAATAGAATAGGCACTATAGATTTTCCTGTCTCATAGCTGAAGAAACTAAGGTTGAGACTGGTTAAATAACTTGCCTAGGGTCACACAGCAAATAAATGGTACAGTAGGAGAGCAGTTTTATTAATCTTCAAATCCCAAATTCTTCATCATCTTGTTCTCTAGCATGTATTAATGTATTAGATATTTCCCTTTTGATTCAACTAAATAACTTTCTCTTGTTTTTCTATTCCTTGCACATTAAGTAAAGTCACTTATATCTGGATGGATATATCCTACAAATACAAAAATGCTGAAATTGTTTCAGTACCTAAAATTTTATATTTTATACCTGGAGCACAAAAGAGATTCTGAATACCCACGGTATCTTCATAAGTAGGGTGAAAAAAGTGTAACTTATCTATGGATTACAATGGAATATATTATTTTAGGATAAATATGTGCTTTGTATACTCAAATCCAACAGAAAAGGGCCACTGATAATTCCAGTACCTCTGGCTTTAACATGGTAATAATTAACTACTGCAATACATATTTTACTATTCATTTAGAAATTACTTAAAACAATGGCTCCTTTCTAAAATTTTTCTATGTTTTCACTACATGGGACTCTGTACAACTCTTATGGTCCAGGTTTGGGACCATTCCAATTTTCCAGATTTCTCAAGGACTTATTTTATTGTCATTGAAAGTATTGGCAGAGGAAAGCAACAATTATTTTAAAATGCATTTAGTAATTGCCTACTGTGTGGCAGGCAATCTCCTAGGTGCTGGAGATAAACTGATAAGCAAGATGAGGATGGTCCTTACCATTATTCAACTTACTGATAATGATAAGAAGATCATTAGAAGATGGGCTTTGGCATCAGGTGAATGAGATAATAAATGCTAAAATAATTTTAACAATCAAAATTTTTCTACTAAATCAAGCCAAATACCTAATACTTGAATCAAAGAATATTGAAGTATCTAATTTCCAAAAGGAGTAAAAGCATATAATTCATACTTTTGGGAGGAACAATTTATTTAAAATATGTTAACCTCTTTTTAAGAAGGAAGTTTCATCTTTCTTACTCAAGTAGCCCCTATTACAAAATATTAAACATATAATTTAAGTGGTCATATTGAAAAGAAAATAGATTTCGTGAAATGATTACATAATCTTAGTTAAAGCAAAATATATTTAAAAATTAGCTTTTCTTATTTTATTTTTTTAAGATTTTATTTATTTATTTGAGAGAGAGAGAGCACAAGTGGGGGGAGCGAGAGGGAGAAGCAGACGCCTCACTGAGCAGGGACCCTGATGTGGGACTCAATCCAAGGACCTTGGGATCATGACCAGAGCTGAAGGAAGACATTTAACCAACTGAGCCACCCAGGTGCCCCTAGATTTTCTTATTTTATATTAAAGAAAAGAATTTAAGTATCTACTCCAGGTTTGTATTCAGAATGTTTCAAAACTTCTCTTGTCTAGAGCTGATTTATATGTTTAAAGTCTTTTATCTCAAATACCATGAAAAAGATTAAGTAAATGATGGTGCATTCAATCACTATGATATTAGGGTTCCTGGGTGGCTCAGTCGTTGAGTGTCTGCCTTCGGCTCAGGTCATGATCCCAGTGTCCTGGGATCAAGTCCCACATCGGGGCTCCCTGCTCAGCAGGAAGCCTGCTTCTCCCTCTCCCACTCCCCCTGCTTGTGTTCCCTCTCTCGCTGTGTCTATCTCTGTCAAATAAATAAATAAAATCTTTAAAATATAATAATAATAATAATCATTGTGATATTATATAGCCAATGAAACAGATCGGAAAAAATTTGTAACATGGGAAATTCTTTCTATATAATTAAAAAACAAACACAGGATGTAAATTTACAAATGTTTACACTATGTAAAACACAAATAAAACTTAGAAAAAATGATAGTAGTTGATTCTGAATGGTGAGATTAGAGTTAGCTTTTTTTCTACATCTTTTTCTCATTTTCAAAATTTTACATAATGACCACTTACTATACTTATTATTTTAAAAATCAATATATTTGGGGGCGCCTGGGTGGCTCGGTCATTAAGCATCTGCCTTCGGCTCAGGTCATGATCCCAGGGTCCTGGGATCGAGCCCCACATCGGGCTCCCTGCTCAGCAGGAGGCCTGTTTCTCCCTCTCCCACTCCCCCTGCTTGTGTTCCTGCTCTTGCTGTGTCTTTCTCTGTCAACTAAATAAATAAAATCTTTTAATAAATAAATTAAATAAATAAATAAATAAATAAATAAATAAATAAATAAATATCAATATATTTGAAAGAAATAAGCCAAAAAAAGAGAACCTGTATCCTACTGAATGAATGGTAGGTTTGTCAGAACTAGGCCAAACTACACAGACAGTCCCAGTACATGAGCCTTTGTGATACATCATTTTTAATAAATATATGCCTGTTTGGAAGGAAACATTTTCTTCTTGATTCACATTTCCACCTTGACCTAGAAAATAAGAATGTCTGCCAACAATTTAGTAGGAGAAAATACTGGAGAAGAAATTTTCTACCAAGGCTATGAGATTTATTTGCTTACACGTGAGGGTTTCCCTGATCACTAAAGAAAGTGAAGACTAGGTCACCAGAGTTGATAAATAATTTTGTACTGGGAGGGGGAGAGGCAAGGATAACAACTCTTAAAGGAAGTAGAAAGTAAGATATATTAACCATGTGGTATGAACATTAGAAAAAAAAGGAAATCTTGAATAAATTCTTGTGACTGGGGTCACAAAACATTTATAGAATTTGCAAGAAAACAGCAATGTTTCAAATGGCACTCTCTAAAGTAGGAGGTGATATACATAAGTAATTTCTTAGTCCTCACATGATAAAATTATCACTTAACTTCTGGAAGGGAAATTTTGCTCATTTGAGTTTCACTGAGAAAAAAAATTCAGTAGTCCTACATAGGCTTTAGGTAACTAGCTTGGAACCCAAACTATTTTATCAATTAACTCATTTTTTTCCACCTAACCTCTATCCCTCAGAACCACTGAAGACACTTTGAAAGTCTGTGGCTTTACATAATAATGTGGATCTAGACTGTATCATGTAATAGGTTTAAGGATTAAAATTATCCTAGGGATGATTACTGTAGGAATTAGGTATTTGCTTGCGTGCATGCACGCACGTGTGTGTGTTTTAAATTTTGTAAACAAAAAGTTTAAATTAATCCTATGATCATAGAAATAAAAGGTGGGGTACATAAGAGAACTCGTCTGTGGTAAACTATATTAAACCATGTATCTGAGCATAATTTGAGAAAAATAAAAGTGGAAACAATATTTTTCCTGGGAAACAATAGGGTTCTTGAAGTTGATTTATAGTACATTGTTTTGACCCACTTGGGAACCTTCTGAGGTAGAAGCTTACATGTCACCACTTGAACCAAAGCACCAGCTTTTGGTTTTAAGACTATCCTGAAAATTGCTGATCTTTTCTCCCCCACATCACTCCCAGGGTAAAAGGCCATAACTCTGGTGGACCCTAAGTTTGGTGTAACCCAACTTATTAATAATCAAAAGTTGGGGAGTACACATAGAAGCCAATTGAAGGAGGTCCCAATGACCAAAGCTGGAACAACCAACTAAATACCATATTATTGGATTATAGTCCAAAGTATAAAATACTTTATACTTTAAATATAAAATATCAAGGAATACATACTGATATTAAAAAATAAATGGGGAAGAAGATGCAAACCCCCCATGAAGAAGTGATCCAAATAGTTTAAATAGATACCCTTCCTCAAGAAAGATGGAACATTACTCCTTATCCCTTAAGAGCAGGCTATACTTAGTGACTTGCTTCCAAATAATAAAGTAACTCTATAGTGGAAAAACTTGACAAACACTACCTCAGCTATGTAATCAAGGCTAACAACAGTGATAAGTCATGCTGACAGCATGTATCCTTGATATGATGTGTTGAGAATGGTTTTTCACCTCTACGTGTCTTTCTCAGAAAAACACATAACCCAAGTCAAAGCATGAGAAAAACATCAGACAAAAAAATGAAGGACATACTACAAAATACCCGACTGTTACTCCTGAAAATTGTCAAGGTCATCAAAAACAAAGTTTGAGAAATTATCACAGCCCAGAGGAGCCAAAGGAAATATTAAAAGTAAATGAAAGGTGGTATCTTGGATGGAGTCCCGAAAGAGAGTCAGAACACTGGGTTAAAAAGAAAAAAAAAAAAAAAAACAGAAATAAAATCTAAATAAATTATGCAGTTTCATTAATATTAATATATTATTATTAGTCCATTAGTTGTGACAAATGGGCCATACTAATCTGTCAACAAGAGAAGAAATTGGGTTGGTGGGGTATATGGGAACTCTAGTAACTTGGCAACTTTTCTACAAATTTAAAACTATTCTAAAATAAAAGATGTATTTATTTTAGATTGGGGAAAGGTCAGGGACCATTCTCTCTCTTCTTGATGCATCAAGCCAGAATTTCTTTGGAACTTCCATACACTGGGAAAGAACTAAGAAAGAAGCTTCTCTTCTTTTCTTCATCCCTCGCTCATTTATTTCCAAGCAGGAAAAATAAATTGTGTGATTGGGAGGGTGAAGGAAAGGATCACCACCTCATGCGTGGCCAACCATCTTGGCTCTGTATTTTAAATTCACTTAAAATTACATTTTCTGGGGTGCCTGGTTGACTCAGACAGAAAAGCATGTGACTCTTGATC